CCGTGTTTTACATTTCATTATATAATGTTTTAATACATATATATTTTTAATACATATATAGTTTTAATACATATATAGTTTTAATACATATATAGTTTTAATACATATATAGTTTTAATACATATATAGTTTTTATACATATATAGTTTTAATACATATATAGTTTTAATACATATATAGTTTTAATACATATACATTTTAATATATATATGTGTGTGTATATGTGTAAAACATGTATGTAACATACATGTTTTACACATATACACACATATACATATACACACATATATACATATACACACACATATATACACACATACATACATATATACATACCTATATACATACACACACACACACACACACACACACACACACACACACACACACACACACACACACATAAACACATACATATATATACACAAACACATATACACATATACATATATTTATACTTTTTTAAATAAAAACTTTTAAATTGTAGTTTAAATAGACAATAACAAAAAGAAATAAATAAATAGCAAAATATAAATTCAAAAACTAAGTTTTAAAATAAAAAATAAAAAAAAGAGAGAGAAAAGCGAAATATAAAAACCTCGAGACGACCAAAAGAAAATGTCGTATTAAGTAAATAGTGAGTAAATTTTTTTTTTTTATTTAGTTTTAAAACATTTAAACTTAAAACTATTTATAATTAAATATAGTTAACAACTATAGACTGAAGAACTGAAAAAGCAAACCAGCCAGTTAATAATAAATATAACATATAATATTATTTTTGATATTTAGAAATAACTTATTTCATTGTCAATATTAAGAAGTTTTTGTTTAAGTTTTATTTTAAATTGGTTAAAGGAAATAATATTTTTTATATCGTTATTAAAGGAAATAATATTTTTTATATCGTTATTAATTTTTGTATTCCATAATTTGAGCCCTCTATTTGCAGTTGAGAATTTTGTGGCCATAAAATATGTTTTGAGTTGTTTGTAGTTCAGATTTGAAAATCTGGTAGGGTAAAAATGATTTATTTTATTAAAAAGGGTATTAAATATAAAAGGTGTCATTTTTTTATCAATTTTATACATAAAAATTAGTATCTGGTAAATGTTTAGTTGAAAAATATTGAGTATCTTTAGTTTTCTAAATAGATCTTTTGATGGTGTTAAATGGTTTACATTTGAAAGAATTCGTATAGCATGTTTTTGTTTGCTGAGAAGTTTCTTTAACTTGGTTGTGTTGGTGCTGCACCAAGCTATGTTTCCATAATTAAGGTAGCAGTGAATAAAAGAAAAGTATATATTTTTAAACAGTCTTGATTTAATACTTGTTTAGCTTTATATAATACGCCAATATTTTTTGATATTTTGTTTTCTATTGTATTTATATGTTCACGCCATAAAAGATTTTCGTCGAGAATTACACCTAAGAAGGAGCACGAGTGTTCTCTTTTTATGTTAGAGTTATCAATACATAAATTGGGAAGTTTTAAAGGAATAATATTTATTTCTTGTAGTCTATGAAAGGTCAGTGGAATGCCCTGACTTAAATCCAAACTGTTTGTTGTAAAGAATATTGTTCGTATTGAGAAAACAATAAAGTCTATTGTACATAATTCTCTCCAATATTTTTGAGAAACAAGGAAGAGTTGAAATTGGTCTGTAATTTACAACACTTGAGAGATCTCCAGATTTGAAAACTGGTATGATTTTAATGATTTTAAGTTTTTCAGGATAAACGCCTTGTTTCAACGATAGATTAAAGATGTGTAAGAGTGGAATGGTTATATATTTTATTGATTTTATGATAACAAGAGTACTGATATTATCGAATCCTAAACTTTTTTTGGGTTTTAACTGGACCATTGCATCTAACAGATCTCTTTCCGTAAGTTCATCATTTCTCATTACGTTGGTGTTATGGGAGTTTAAAAAAGATTCAAATTTTATTTCTGTCGGTTCTATTTTTGATGCTAAGTTATAGCCTACGTTAACAAAATACTGATTAAATTTTTCTGCAATTAAATACTTATCTGTAATAAATTCTTTATTTGTGTATAGATTATTTGGGAGGTTTTTTGCAGCGTTTTTGTTTTGACAAACTTTGTAATCTCTGGAAAAGCTTTGTAATAATGTTGTTGAAACTCGTTAAGAAACGTAACATATGCTGTATTAACGTTTGTAATTTTTATAATGTGATTCCAATTTTTAAGAGATAAATGGTTATGAAAACCATTAATAGTGATTTTATTTATTCTTCTGGATGATATTTTCAGTTTTTGTACAATGTTGTTATCGGACTTATATTGTTATTGGACTTATATTATTATCGGACTTATATTGTTATCGGACTTATATTGTTATCAGACTTATATTGTTATCGGACTTATATTGTTATCGGACTTATATTGTTATCGGACTTATATTGTTATCGGACTTATATTGTTATCGGACTTATATTGTTATCGGACTTATATTGTTATCGGACTTATATTGTTATCGGACTTATATTGTTATCGGACTTATGTGACATTATAAATACCAGAAAGTGATCAGAAATGTCTGATATATCAATGCCTGATTGAATTTTGATGTTTGCGAATTTATTTGTGATTATTTGATCGATTGATGTAGCACTTTCCCTGGTAATTCGAGTGGGTTTTATTAATAATCAGAATGTAGCCATTCTGAAAAACACAATTAAAAAAGTTTTTAATTTTTTTGTTTTTATCATACTCAGGAATGTTGAGGTTAAAATCGCCCACGAGGTATACGCTTTTATTTGACCTTGATTCTGTTTTAAATTTTTTTTTTTTACATAATCTTTAAATGTTTTGATTGTTCCAGAAGGTGGCCTGTATACAGCGTACGTGATAATAATACTTGTTGAATCTTTGTTTATAATTTCAATGCACAACGATTCGTAATTGCTGTTAGTTGAGCATGAATTCTTTTTATGTTTTTATAACAATGAGTTGTTTATAAAAATACATAATCCCCCACCTGTCTTTTCAGTGTTTCTAAACTGATGAACCACTTTATAATTTTGTAATTGATAGCTTGAGTCATTTTTAATATATCCATCGTGACACCAAGTTTCGCAAAGAAAAATGACCTGGAAATTAACTTTTATTTTAGACAAAAACTGCTTGAATGAATCAAAGTTTTTTGTAGGCACCTTATGTTCAAATGCAATATTGAAAATGAATTAATATCCAATTCCTTCGTAAGGTCCTCAGATTCTAGGTCATAATATATTGGATTTATACTTTGAATTAATTCATTATTATTATAATAGTTAATATCAGGATCAGAACCTTTATCTAATAATATTTTTTTTTTATTTTAAAATGTATTGAATTCTAAGTTTTGGAAAGCTGTATTTAGACTCATTAGTAAGGTTTATAGTATAATATAAAATAATATAAAATAAAATAATATGAAATATTATAGTTAGAATATATTAAATGTTTTTAATCGAAGTTTTAAACTATAGTTATAAATAAGGATGTCATTAAGCGCTGGTTTGCTTTTTCCTAAAATCTTTTACAATAAGTTAATCATAAATAATAACGGAATACTTATCGTTCTTTCTGTGCTCTTTCATTTCGTTCAGTAAACCGTTTCTTATTTCACGCGTTTCGTGGGAAAAATCTTCGTTTATATAGATTCCCGTTCCCTTGAGTTTATTAGCCGCCTGTAACACCTTGACTTTGTCCTTATAGTGAAGTAATTTGACAATTATGGTTCTTGACTTATTTTCTTCTTTTTTCCCCGTTCTGTGTGATCTTTCTATGTTGATATCGCTGTTAAGACTTAATCTATTTTGAAACAAATTTAGTATCTTTTTTTCTGTATCATTCCAATTTTCAAGTTCATTTTCCATCACTCCATCAATCAGAAGATTGTTTCTTCTTAGTCTGTCCTCAAGCTCCCTTAACTTTTTTTTTCCCTCATCACCTGTTTGTTTTTTTTCCTCATCAACTGTCATCACTGTTTCAAAACTATATATAAGTCAATATATATGTCAAATGAAATAAGTTAAAAAAATCCAATAGTTGTTAAGATGAACTTTTTAAGTTTGATTTTTTGTTGAGCATTATCTATAGTTACATTTCACTTTTTTTGTGTGTAGTTATTAAGATGCTCCAAGTCCTTACTGTCATATCACGGAGCACTATTTTTTCATCTAAAAAATTCACATCTTATTCCTCACCAATGTCGCTAATGTATCCAGAGTCAGCATTGAGCCTCGGCCTTCTTGATTCCGAGCCAGAACTCTAACCACTGCGCTACGACTACTAATTTGATACATTTCAGGGGTTTTTTGTTCCAGGCTCCAACTATCGTAATTTTTCAAATTTTTCAAATTTTAATATTATTTTAGATAAGTCTTTTGAGTTTGGTCCGCCTCTTCTCTGAAAGTCTGAAACACCAAAAAAGATCATGCCGCCCCCATTCTTGAGTCACAAATTTTTTTTCAAGAACTATAATTAAACTAAAAACTCATTTTTTTAAGGAAAAACTTTTTAAAATTTCAAACTTACTTGAGCACAAACACAAAATGCGATCAATAAAAACCCGAAATTCCAAGTTATCATATAATATTTATATACATTTAAAACATTTACATGCGAAACTAAAATATAAATATTAGAAAACACTTCCATTTTTTTTTCTAACCTTTAAAACCATAAAAAATTAGAAAAAATATTACGAAACATATTTAATAACAATTCCTAATATATAATAATAGCAATAAATAATGATCAAAAAATTATTTCCAAAATGAAAAGTAAATTAAATAATTTATCTGAAATACAGAAAAAAACACAAAACAAAATAATTTGAATAAATAAAAATTTAAATGTGAAAGTTTCAAAAAAAAACAAAAAAAAAAAAACAGAAAAAAAGGTGTTCAAATAATTTAAAGACAAAACATTTACAGGTCAAAAGAAAAAATAAGATTTTTAACAAAATAAAAAAATAAGATTCTTAGAAAAATATTTAAAAAAGTATAATATCTAGATAGAAAGAATCACAGTATATAAATAAACATAAAAAAGTATATATAAAAAACAAACTAAGAACTAAACTATTGTCTCGATTCGATTTCGTGGACTTGGTGACGAAGGTTTGATTGGTTCAAATTTTGCATCTATAAAGTATAAAACATTTATAAGTTTTAATAATTAATTTTATGCACAACTATGATATTTAAAAGATATATAGATAAATATACGAACGAAATATAACGAACTATTAAAGCTTAAAGTTAAAACGTATGTATTTAAGAGGTCTTAATTTCAAATAAATAAGAGTTTTCTACTTTTTATGACAAAATTTCAAATTTTCTGTGTAGATAAACCTTTTAGATAACTTTTCTGTGTAGATACCCTTTTAAGATTGATTGTAGAATTCTATCTTGGTTATAGGATTTGAATTTGTTATTTTTTTCACTATAAGACTATAGGCTGGGTAAATAAAAATAAAGCAATTGCTTTTACTAAGCGTTTTTGGAGAAATTGTTCAGCTTTACCTGAATAAAAATTTGAGCAAATTTACTGAAGTTTTTATTTACGTAAAACCTGACAAATACCTGAGTAAAATCAATTGCTTTTTTTTATTCACCCGGCGTTATGTGTTTTTTAGTTTTCATATTTCTTTAGAGAATCGTTTTCAAAGAATATAGGCAATTGGGTCAACAACAACAAAAAACTTTTTGTTTTGTTTGATTAACAGTACAAAAGGGCGACAAATTAAATATTAGAATATGAGTTATTAGAGTAAAAAACCCTTTTTTCCTTAATTTTTTATGCTTTTGACTTCAATGCAATTAATATTCAGAATTTTGTAACAATAACAAAAACGGATTTAGGTCTCCTTGAATTATCTCTGATGATTTCATACTAAAAAAAACCATCTTTTTTTTCGTTTAAATTTTTTTTTTCTGTCTGGATTAATGTCAGCATTTTTAAAGATAAAGTACTTAAAGTGTAAAGAACATTCTGAAAAGTATTTAGAATATTTTGAAAAGTTTATAGAACTTTCTATAAAGTATATAGAACGTTCTGCAAAGCATGTAGAACATTCTGCAAAGTATATAGAACATTCTAGATAGCAAAAAAAAAACATTCTGGGAAGTATATAGAACATTTTGGAAAATAAATATAGAACATTCTGCTAAGTATATGGAAAATTCTGTAAAATATGTAAAACATTCAATATACTTTCATACTTCTTTCATTTCTAAATATTTTATAAAATTTTTTTGTTTTTAAAAATTAAAAACAAATAATTCTTTGAAAAAAAGTTGAGAATCAAAAACCTAAAAAAATTTAAACTAAAAAATAATTTTAAACTTAAAAATTTAAAGTAAAAAATTTTGAATTTCTTTTCCTTTTTAGGCTGGTAAAAGTAGTAATGAACAAAGATGAAATAAAGAAAAAAAAAAGATGAAGTGTGGAAAACAACAATAAAACTTAAATTTAATTTGAAAGAAAAATCTTTAAAAAAATACCTTTAGTCAAACTAGCCCTTTGCAAATATCCAGATGGTGCCCAACCTTTTTTCCCACTTAATAGGCTACTACAATACCACCAACCTCCTTCACCTTCTTTAACAACACTTACTAACTCTCCTTCTTTTAAAGACATTTCTGAGTCCTCAACTGAATTATATTCTGCTAATGCAATAAAATTTTCCTACAAAAAAAAAAAAAAAATCCTAAAAACTAGATAATTATATTACTTTTGCAAAAATTAAAAACTTAGATGTACAAAAACCTACTTAAAAAATTTAATCGGTTCTTTGGAAAAAGTCCAGAACTTCAAACTTTACAGGTGAAATGGAAACCAATTTGTTAAAGACCCATTGATTTTTTTATAATTTTATTTTTATATTACGATTTCAATCTATAACAGCCTATTTTCTACAGTTACTACATGTAATAATCAATAACAGCCTATTTTCTTCAGTTGTTATTTGTAATAATCTATAACAACCTATTTTCTATAGTTACTACATATTATAAGTACTCTATTTTAATATGTAACAAAATTGCCAACAAATGGTGATGTTCCTTGATGACATTGATGCCCTAGTTGCTAAACTAGGCAATATATTTTTTGTATACTATATGGTGTGTATACTGACGATATTATAAAGGTGATTACAATGTTGGGTGTTATTATATAGGTGATTACAATGGGTGTATTTTTTAAAGTTTATATATTTTTTTATGATGTAAATATTTTAATTTAAAAAATACTTTATTAAAAGTTCTAGATTAGTTTAGGTTCTACCACTACCATCACTTGCTTTTAAAATGTCCCTGCCTGTCTATACCTCATATCATGATATAAGCTATACAGTAATGCCTTTCTCTCACAAAATAATTTATAAATTTTTATAATTAATAAGCTATGTATAAATGTTAATTATATAAAATAATAGTTTATTATTTAAAAAAAATTAATAAAATTCAGTTTTTGAGGAT